CACTATCACATCATCTGGACCAAACTGAAGCCTGAATCCTGAAAATCTTCAAAATCAGGCTAAATTTTCTACTTGTATGCAAAAAAACATTAACATGGCATGTGCAGATTGAAGTAAAATGTGCTGAGACCATTCATTCAGCCATCATTTGATTTCACTGACCTCATGACCTTTCCTTTAGCACCACTAAACTTGACATTTTTAGCCTCACTCTGGGCTGGGACTGGGCAAATCTGATAAAGTAACTGCTTTACTCAAGAGTCTGACGTGTATTGATGGTCCGAAATATGACAGTGGGACATACTGACACATGGATGTCAACCTTTGATAATGTGTGTGAAGATACTGCCAGTGTGTGTGTTGCCCAGTGGCACCCTTAGAGATTCTTCATAGGGATGACACCAAAACCAAAAGCCATAAATTAATTTCAGGAATTCCATTGTGATTTTGAAGTCAACTAGTAAACTAGTTGACGCAGCCTGATTTTGGTTTCTTATTTTACAGTTAATATTAGTAATGATCTGAAGTTCATTCATTCATTTTCCAAAAGCACTTATCCTGTTGGGGGTTGCGGGGGAGCTGGAGCCTATCCCAGCTGACGCTGGGCGAGACAGGTCACCAGACTATCACGGGACTGACACATAGAGACAGACAACTATCCATGCTCACATTCACACCTTTAGAGTCACCAATTAACCTGCATGGCTGTGGACTGTGGGAGGAACTTGGAGTACCTGCAGAAAACCCATGTTGACACGGAGAGAACATGCAAACTCCACATAGAAGGGCTCCCACACCCCAGGTTCGGACCAGGCACCCCCTTGCTGCGAGGTGACAATGCTAACCACTGCAGCACTGTGCATAAATTAATGCCAGTACAGTTAGGATTTTGAGTGTCGCAACAATTTTGTATGTTTTTAATATTTTGTATCTGTACATGTGTTGTGAAAAGAGAAATGTACAGCTTTAATTTAAAGGAGTACATTTATTATACGGAATAAAACATTTACAGGGAAAAAGCCCTTTCAAGTTTAGGGGAAACTCATGCATTTTCATTCAGATATCTTAAGGTGAGAGTTCAAGGGACCCCTTTGCAAATGGCCATGCCAGTTGTTCCCTTGCAAAAATTTAGTCTAGATTTGGAGAGTTTTTAGCCCTCTTACAGTCAAGTTAAGCCATGATGGTTGGTACCAGTGGATGCCGTGAGTTGTCTAGTTTTACAAGATACCACTACCTTTGTGCTCACTTAAGAGAGGAGCACGCCTCAGCCTCTTAAAGACAGTAAAGTTGGCCTCCAATGTTGTTTTTATTTCTTAGATATTCTTCTTATTTTTGCTTTTTTCCCCTCTTGTGAATAGTGCACTCATTTTAATTCACAGGCCTCTGAACATTCTCCAAGTGTAATTGTGGGTGAAAATTAACTCAGTTTGTCTGACCCCATGCAACCAGTGACAGTGGCTCACTATGAGCTTTGTGTTAAGGGGCAACAGGGCAAAAACAGTTAGGAAACACTGCTCTAAGAAACCCAACTGCTCTGTCAAAAACAGGACAGGGTTGACATCAATGATGGCAATGCAGTACAAAACAATTCACTTTTTTAAATTAGATTCCACATTGGGTACAAATCAGTAGGCCTGAAGTGCAGAGTCATGTGAGGGGTAATATACAGAACAAACATTAATACATGCAATAAATATAAAATATGAATAATAAATAAACAATGGGATGTCGGTATGAATATTTTAAGACACACCAGATGAACAGGAACAGTATTAATAGTAGTGCTCTTGTTAAATTTTAGATGCAGCTCACACTGTGATCACTATGGAAGTTTGAATGTGTTTACTTGTTCAAGGAGTTTGATATCAGAGTCTCTGCTCTGCTGACAAAACCTACTCACCGAAAGTATGGGCTGCAGCCACAGAGGATGATCCTGTGGGCATCAAACTCGACGTCACCCACCTTGATTACCACATCGCACAGTTTCCCCTCCAGACGGAGTTCAGTTAAAACTGCACTTGCCACGTCGTGCATATTTTCCTCCATTTCACCTTTGTGAGAATTTAATGTGATGGAAACTCACAATGGTCAGTATTTTTTTGACTGTACTCTGAAGGTCCTCAGAGATGTTTAAAGATGTTTGATTCTCCACATATACTTATGAAGTGTCAGAACTTCTCCTGAGCTCATTCCAGAATGTTTCTTTGCGACACCACAGAATCTGGAACAGGAGGTACTGTTCCGAAAGTACTGCTATTTTGCATATTAAGATTACACAGGCCTAATAATACAGTAAAAGAGAAATAACATACTCATCACTGTGGACTGTATGAAAAAGTAGGCTAGTCCTAACTAGCAACAAGAAAAGAAACTATATGTATGTGTGCATTAATGCCTAGAAGTAAAAAAAGAAACAGATTTGTATATCTGTGCACAATAGCCTCTTACATGTGTGTTATCGCTCTTATCACCACATAAATGTTTGTTTTTATTTGCTAATATCAAATAACAACTGACAACCAACTATTACTCATGAGATATTTATTAACACAATAATTCAAGAATTAATTTTAAACTTTTTAAAATTAAATCAAAGCACCAATACCACATTCATTTAAATGGGAAGTAGTGTATGATAATGTAAAATAATGTGAAGTGTCACACACTTATAATTCCCACACACGAATGGCGACAAATAGGATCCCCTGAAGTTTTTTTTTAAACAAATAAAAAATTAAATTACATTTCATAGGTAGAGTTTGCATTTTCATTCTCTCAGCACACATATGTTTTCTATAATGACTCATTTTGACTCATTTTGTGCAACACAACATGACAACAACTTTAAAGAGATGTGGTAGTGTCTTTGGTCTAAATGAGCCGACAGCCAATCAGAAACACGACTGATTCAGCCTTCTTTGTCTTGACTGATACAACTGTTAAGTTAATAACAGTTGGAGTTAAATAAAAATGACCTTTAACTCTGTTATGTAGAAAAAAGCAGGATGAAATACATTTCTTTTTTAAATGTATAAGATTATTTTACATTTTTTATAGTTGTAGTTTTTTCTGTAGGCCTATATTATAACCTATTTAAACATGTCTTACTCATTCAGGCAAATGTGAAACACTGTGGGTCTCCATCTAAGTGTAGCTTTGTAAACAAATCAGTGATGTACGGCTGAATGTTGTTGTTTCTGACTCTTGATTGTTAGTGTAAAGAGCACTTTGAGTGAGGCCCCTCTCCTACACATTGTTTTAATTTATCGTAACACCATGGCACCATGTCGGCTATTATGTGCAGACTGAGATTAATGTCCTGAAGTGGGAATAATTCCTCATTTCAGTGTGCCCTTTTGCTGCAGAGAGACGGTGTACATTGGAAGAGAGGAGTTGGGGAAGCGTTGTTACCAACTGTTGCCACAGGAGGGCGTGTAGTGCTGTCAGGAGTATAAAGGAAGTATAAGCACTGGCTCCAATTTAAACCATCAGTGTGATGTCACACCTTGCACCATCTATCTTCCTATGCAGTCAGTGCCTAAACCACATTAAAATATTTTTGCAGAATAACAAAAAAAAAAAAAAAGAAAATCATAATTTAGTGTCTTTGTGTTGTTTGTTTTAGACACACTGTGATAACAGTATATGTAACAGTAATTAGCAATACTGTAGTGTAGACATTCTCTTTATTTTAGTAAAAGTACAAATAAGCATTAACATAAGTAAAAGTACTCATTACGCAGAATTGCCCATTTCAGGTGGATCTAAACTTGTGAATTTCCTCTGCGGGATCAATTAAAGGTTGAGTGTGTAGGATTTAGTGGCACCTAGAGGTGAGGTTGGAGAGGTGAAACTTCACTGTGTGCCAAGTGTGTAGTAGAACTATGGTGGCCGAAGCAAAAATGCAGATAGTCCTATGTTGAGCCAGTGTTTGGTTTGTCTCTTCTGGGCTACTGTACAACAACATGAAGGACTCTGTGGAAGAGGACCAGCTCCATATGTAGGTATAAATGGCTCATTTTGCAGTCACAGAAACACAACAATCTTACTTTCAGCTGATTATAAACTAATGAAAACACAGTTATGAATATTATACAACATTTCTGCAGCCTACAGCTCTGAAATCCTACATACTGGACCTTTTTGATCTGATCCTAATAATACATCGTAATTTGTGTGTTGATTGTGTTTTGTAGCCTGTTCATAATATTAATCTACAAAGTAGGCCTAAATTATCAGAAAAATATAAAAAGTGCAAAAACACAAATGTGTTGAATTGTTAGAATTGTTAGTGTTAGAATTTTCTGTTCTGGGCTACTGTAGAAACAGTGCACTTTGTGGATGATTAGTAATTGGATGTATTAGGAGAACAGGAACATTGAATGTGAGGCCCTGTTCCAAAATGGTTCACAGTGAGAGCTGGACAGAGCAGTGATTGACAACAACCCCACCCACATATAGGAGCAGTGTTTGTGGTGGAAACACTAGGGTCTAGGTACCATGTCTGAAGGGTTACTTTTGGATCCAAAGGTACCATACAGAAAGTGTTTATGGAAACAGGACTAAGGAGTCAGGCAGAGAGTATGCCCTTGTGGGTGATTGCCACCTTAGAAATATGTTCAAAGATGAGCTCTCATTAAATCAAAAATGGTGTAGTTTCTTATTTTGGTTGGTATTTTTTTGTCACATACAGATGCAGTGATGATGGCTGGGTAACACATATGCTGATGTTGTCCAGTGTTGAGTCTCTATGATCATGTGACGAGACATATGTGCACAATAATGTGTACTCTGTTGTAAATACCTTACACCACTGGATTCACTGCAGGTCTACTACAGGCCTTTAAAGACAAAATGTTCTCACCTTTACGGTCTAAAACCTGAGCTGGTCCTCACAGAGATAGTGAACACACACACGCACGCACACACACACACACACACACACACACACACACCTCCTTGTCTCTCCTCTCTCCCTCTCAGAGTTGTTCAGACTTGAGGGAGGAATGGCGGCCCCTCGGAGTTTCTTCATCTCTCTCTCTGGTTTATTTCTGCTTTTATATTTCTCTTGTGGATCTACGACCTCAGGCAGCAGGAGAACAAACCAGGAGCGATGCGGCTACAAGGTAAAACTCAAAATTATACGTGTTCCGTGTTGCTTTAACGACATTTAAGTTCGTTAAACCTGCTGCTGCGTCGTCTCAAGTGTCCCAAAAAAGTTCAGTTTTCGGAGATGGTTCCGTCTGTTTCTCTCCAATCTCTCTGTACATGCACAGACAGCTTGTGTTACTTGACCTGCAAATTACATTAACTAAAGTTTCATGGTCACTTTTGGTCCAAACAGTCTGAAACCCGCAGTGTTTTTAAAGTCAGGTTGCGTCAGTCACGCTACCTTTTCTTACCTGTCTGTCGGAGCTCAAACTCCGGTTCGGCCCATCTACATAACTGTAGACCAAACTTCACTTTGAAAACTGCTCATTTAAAGATCACTCGCTGTAGTGTAAATCTTCAGATATTAGAAGACAAATTTTAAACTTTTTCTAAATTAGTCTGGAGTCCTGCTGAATTCGGCATACAGGTAGTCCCCCATAGATGACTTCAATCCAGCAAAATCTAACTTATTACCTGGTTTACACTGTTCACTGTCTGCCAGAAAGACAGCAAGTGACTGTGGCGAACTTAACTAAAATAGGCTATGTTTGATATTGAGTACTGGTTGTATTCTGGTTTGGAAATTGCATCTCAAAGCACATGTTTATGTGATTTATTGGTTTGCAAACTTGAGTTATCAGCTTGTTCAAACTATAATAATTTGAGTTAAAGTTTTATTTATCCCATGTAGAGAAATTTAAGCTGTTAACAGTGCTCTTAAAGTTAGACTAGTCACACTCCTGTCCTACTGCCCTGTCTGTCTCCACTTTTAACAAAGCCCCTCTTAAGAAAAGTTTCCTCACTTTTAAGTAATTTTCTGTATCTTGTTTATATTTGGTTGCATTCTGCATATATTTATTTTACTAAAGAGCACATAATTGTGATTAAACCTAACTCCAACAGCCAAGGTGGAAGCTTATTTTTGCAGGCCAGACAAAACCAGCAGAAATTACAGTGACATGGCTTCTGCCTGTTGCTGATTTACATGACTTCAGGAGGATAAAACACAGAGCTTCCACTCCTTTCCATTGGAGTTTTGTGGTTGAGGGGAATTACAGGTAGTAGAGCTGATTTCCTGCCTTTTGTGTGCTCTGTAAAAAACATTTGATGTGGAAAACAGGAATATGATGCACCGCCTCCACACTGCTGTTCTGCTCCTGCACTTCACAGCTGCTTTGTTTCTGGCCATGAATGGACCACTATTTAGCCCGCACCATCTTTTGAGTTCAAAATTTGTAAAGTTTGAGAAAGTTTAGCCTGAAAAAAGACGCTCAGTTGTGTTTTAATTGGATTTTAGCCTCAGAAAGAAAAGTTTTCTGTTGGCAAAAGACACACACACACACTAAACTTAAAAAGATCAGTTTTATAGGTTAGTGTCAACTTTTCCCAAACTTTAGTGTGGTATTAATCAAGATGGTGATGTTAATGTTGCTGCCAGTTGCTGTTTTCGGGTTACAGGTTGCCATAGTAACCATAGAGTAACTCTATAGTCACTTTAGTAACCAGTTTTTTCCTTTTTTATACCAAAGTTGAGCAATAATGTGAGCTCAGGTGACGTTACCTGTGTGTCAGTGTTCACACAATTAAGCGTTATTTTCATAATTGATCGTTATTGATCAATCTGCAGATTTGATTGATTATTTAATTGTTAATTTTAAGACTTGGTTCTCTTTTCAAAAGATTGAAAACCCCAGATATTCAGTTCACTGTCATGTAGGACAAAGAAAAGATGCAGATTCACACACCGGAAAAGCTGAAACCAGATAATGCTTGGCTTTTTTGGTGGCATCGATAATCAGAAAAGTTTTCAATCAATATTCTGTCGATCAACTGATGCTTAAATTGATTGATCTTTAAGCTTTTCTGACAGACGTTTTAAAAATTAAGTTGTGATTTTCTTTTTCGTGTCGGTAATGTGGAAAGTATCAGATTGTGTGTGTGTGTGTGTGTGTGTGTGTGTGTGTGTGCGCGTTCTACAGGTTTTAATTTTCCTGTGTTGATAGATGACTCCGACCTACCTTTGATGCAGTGTGTGTGTGTGTGTGTGTGTGTGTGTGCGTGCGTGTTATCCCAGTTTCCTCTCTCTGGCTTTGAAGTGTTGTCTACAGGAAGCTTCACACTGTTTACTCTGCTGAAACATTCCTTCCTGCAACCCCCAAACACACACACACACACACACACGCACACACACTCTGTCTCTCTTTCTTTATCATGCCCCCCCCCCCCCGCCCCTTCCACCCGCTTCCCCTCTCTTTTCAGAAACGCACACATCAAAGGCTGCTGGATGGGGGTGTGAGGACCTGCTATTCTACAGGTGTGAGGTTATTAGAGCTGTGTGTGTGTGTGTGACTCGTAAATGCTCTGCTGGTTTACGTGTTGGCACTCTGTTTTAAAAGGGCCTGAGTATATTAAGACAGAGCTGAAAGAATTAAGAATCTAATCAATTTATTGTAGAGTTTTCATGCAAAAATGCCAAATATCTCCTTGTTCTAGTTTCTCCATTGTGACGTTCTGATGCTTTATTTTATCAGATGTGGTAGTAAACTATAAATCTTTGGGTGCTGGACTGTTGGTTGGACAAAACAACATGACTGAAGCAGGTCTTAAAGAAATTGTGAAGTGCACTTTTTACCCTTTTCTGACATTTTCCGATCATATGATACATTAATTTAACTGAGAAAACAAAGCCAATAACTATTAGTTGTAGCCATTAAAGCCACAGTTAACTTTTGTAAAACACAACTTTTTCACATTAGCTGAAACTGTCACTATATTCATAGAGGGTTGCAACTGTATGTCATCTACACAAACAAGCAACATGTGAAAGTGGCTCATTGTATTTTATATCTATGCTTACTTTATTGCTGCTCTGCATGTCTGCATGTAATGCTAACTTGTGTGTTGGTACCTGGTGTTGCTTGCTTGTCTGTTTGTGCTAACATGCTGTTTGTTGTTGTGTGTGTATTGTACTGAGGCTCTGCCCTAACAGTCTATAGCCCTTTTTAAATAGGAATTTTGCAAATTTGCATGAAAGCCCAATCAGTCTTTTTTCAGCATTGGCAGTATAAAAACAAAATTGGGGAGTGCGGCAAAATGCTGCCTACCTACTTTTGTTTATACAGAATGTGCCTTTTTCGGGGCAATGGGGTGCGTGAGCAAGTAACAAAACGTGTAGCTCAGCATGTGACGTTAACAGTGACGTGGGAGGTAAGCAGCGGCTGGTCAGTCCTTTGGCGATTCTCTCATAAGTCGGCCCGATCTTCATTGTCCCCGTCATTTGATGGTTAATGGCCTCTTCATTTGCGAGGACAAGGAGGCTGCGCAATTCCTTGTCTCCCCAGTTGCTCATCTTTACAGTGTCTGTCAGGTTTGTGTTTCCCTCTTGCTACTAGCTGCTAATTCCTGCTATCAGCTGTTTCCTGTTTATCCACTGCCAGTGGGTCGCATGTGCGGCGTCATCAACAGCTCCTCCCACAAGTCTTCAACTGCCCTTCCCGTTGCGGAAGGCCGCCTCGGTCTGTTTAAACTAAAAGGGTTCTGCCAATATCACTACCCTACGAGGTGGAAAATTGGGCACCTCGGATCAACTCGCCAATCCGCCTCTGTGTGTATAAATGCTCGCAGCTTGCTGGCAAAACGGCCCAACAATTGCCGAGGATCTGGCAGTGTAAAAGGGGCTTTTGTTTGTTTGTTTCCAGGCTTGATTTGTAGAATGGTCACGTGACGATTCCTACAAGGATTGATGCTGTGCTGATGGACTTATGAGTTGTCAATGTTATGAACACTGCAGAGATGATGCTTTGTTTTTGTTCAGTCTGTGCTGTTTGTGTTTATGTATTTGTTTATTTGGTGATGTTTTGTATTTATTTATCTCTGTCGATGCTCTTAAAATAGAAAAACTTCACTTACATAAAAAGAACAGGGACAGTTTCAGTAAATATGATAGTTATTTTCCATAAAAGTTACCAACTGTACTTTTAATCTATACATTTTATACATTGTATACACATTACATGAGTAACTGTGTCATAGTTTCAGTACTTGTGAACATTTTTTTAGGACTTTTATTTCCTTTTTGTACTTTCTCAAAGACTCAAAGATTTTCTTTCTCTGACTTTTCAGTGTTTTAAACATTCGTAAGGCATTTAACTCTCAATTTAGCAACTTACAACTGTACAAAATTCAGTCACACTTCTGCAGTTTGGTCGTGTCTGGCGAAAACAAAAAATCTGTGCTGGATCAGTGGGGATGGCACATCATAAATATGCAGGGCCTTCTCCCAAAATGCTGAACCTGGCTCAACTTTTGCCACAATGCAAAGTGACATCATCAGACAATGTACTGCACTGGCCAATCAAAGACAAGCACATTACTCATAGAAAACTTTGAAACTACGTCTACTGTGTCTTGGCGACTGCTGCTTTGTCGATGTGATAACTTTACAGAGGTGTAAAATCCTTCCTCATAATATCATTAACTGCTGTGTTTTGCTGTCTGATAAACCTTAAACTCTATGACTCAAACAGGCCCTGCTGAATTAAATGGTCTCACCTCTACCTGAAACAATGTGGGGCTGTTTTTTCGATCCAAATGTGGCTCTAGTTCTCTCTCCTTTGATCGTTGGATGATTCTCTCACTGTCATTATTTTTTGCACATGTTCCTGTTCCTGTGGCTTCGTGTGTGTTAAATACGGAATTCACAGAGTCCCCATACCTGATGAAGGAAACAGTTTCCTTCCCTGGATGTTTCATAAATCAAGTTACTGCAGAGTGCAGGAATGAGAGATGATTTAGCTCCATGTAAACTCTCTGTGCTTAAACACATCTGCTGAAGCCATCACATCCGTCTCAGCGGAGGAAGACACACCAGGAAATCATTCAAGCTTCCTCCTCTCTTTTTCTGGATTCTTCATCTCCTTCTTTTCTCTCTCTCACCCTGCCATCATTTGTGAAGCACGTTTCCAAGCTCCAACCA